AAAGCAAGCCGTGGGACCACCAGTTAGCATAATGGCTATGTCACTGAACTCCCATGTAGCCGACCGCGGTTTGAGTCCCGGACCCGGTGGCATTAAACTCATGCTGGGCGCGTGTGCGTGCGTGCCCAAGATCCCAAGAGGAGAATAGAGGAGAAGGGATTGTGGTGCGGTGTGGCCATCCCCCCTGGAGGTTGATTTCTCACTTTCTATCTCTCTGTCTTTCTGGCGAGCGTACACGCCCATAGCAAAAACTCTCCAAAAGAAAAGAAAGAAAGAAAGCTGCCAGGTTTGGGACTCGAACCATGATTGGCCATGTGGGCCACCTGCCAGCCCCAAGGTTTATATATTAATAGTAAAAAAAAATTAATTAAGTGGGGCAGCAGGTAGCATAGTGGTTAAGGGTGCTGGACTTCAACATGACCAACCACAGTTCAAGTCCCGGACTTGGCAGCTTGCTTTCTCACCCTCTCTCTCTCTTTCTCTCTCTCTTACTCTGTCTCTCTCTAGCCAAATTAAAATAAGTAAGTAAATAAATAAAGCTAAATAAAATATTTTTAAAAAAAGTTTTGCTATAGGGCGTGTATGCTTGCCAGAGAGACAGACAGAAAGACAGAACAGAAAACCCCCCCCCCCCCAGCGGGGATGGCCATGCCACAATCCCTTCTCCTTCATTCTCCACTTGGGATTTGGGGCACGCACGCACATGTGCCTGATGTGAGGTTTAAGCCCCTGGGTCCGGGACTTGAACCATAGTCAACAACATGGGAGTTCAGCGACATAGCCATTACACCAACTGCTGGTCCTGTCACACTTCTTCTTGAACTCCCCAATGAGGTGATGCTTCATGAGCGTGGTCTTCCGATGTCACTGTCACCAACCAACACTAGTTTGAACTGGACCTGGGGCTCTCCTGGGTGGTCATGGTGGCTTCCAGAAGTGTCTCTATACTCATCTGACTTAGCCCGTTAGACCCCAGGGTGACCCCTCCTGTGGAAGTTCTGTCCCTCCACGCTCTCGTCAAGGCTTTGCGGTGGACCGAGGGAGCTTCCCCACCTCTCGCTCCAGGCCTGGCCCTGTGGCTGTTCTGGTTGGATGTTGGCACCATGACAGTGACGGGGGTTTCGACGTCCTGCTGTAGCTGGATCGCATACATCCCCCATGGCCACTGCGTTTGAGCTTGGCGGTCATGTGACAGCCTGAAGGGCAGACCTGTCCCCGCTGTCCCCGTCTGCATCCCAGGCACACACTCGGCCAATGAGCCAAGACAGCCAACGCCCAGCTGAGCCTGACCTGGCGGTGCCCCTGGCCTAGAGGGTAACTTCATCACACTTAGGTGAAGCGGCTTCTGGCTGGTCCTCTCAGCTGCATACGAGGGCCCCTGCAGAGATGATAGGCCTGGCCCCGCATGGTGACACAGTTAAGAACAAGCTGAACAGCAGTGCTGGAAGCCTCAGGGCTGGCTGTGGGTTCAGATCCTCAGGTAGGTCTGAAAACACCAGGTGCACGCACATGTGCCCAAGATCCTGAAGAACTGGAGGGCTGGGAAAAAGAGGTTGCAGTGTGATGGGAGTCTGTCGAGGGTCTCTCTCTCTGTCTCTCATCAATGTGCATATATTCTATTAGGAATGAAAAAAAAAAAACAAAACCAAAAAGATTTCAGGAGTTCTATAAAGCCTTAGGTACTCAAAGTAAATTCAGACACGATCCTGGCTTTGGATAGAAAATGCATGAATGCGGAAGATTTACTGCTAAGTGAAGCAAGCCGGGCTATGAAAGAGAGATATTGTATTTCCCCACTGGATATATACTGACCGTCCTCACTCTATGACAGCAACGGAAAGCTTAGAGCAGACAGAAGTACGGGAAGCGATTATGGATCCTGGAGACAGTGTGGGAGGAGGGTGAGGGAGGGGAGAGAGCGTGAGGAAAGACATCAAGGAGAAAAATAGAGGCGAGACGTTTATGGGACACAGAAACGAATTATAATCTGTTGAGGATAACGTGTACAGCGTCTTCAACTGCACTGGTGTGAATTCGTGTTGGGTAAATTCACTTTACAAGCTAAGTGATGTATAGTGATTGGATGTATAAAATACATTAAAATGAAAAAAAAAGGAAATCCAGAGACATCTTGATAGGAACTTTTAAAAAAATTTATTTATTTTTTATATACATTCAATGTCATTGTTTAGCTTATGAAGTGAACATTTCAATATGTGAACATTTCTCCCCAGTCCAGTTGATCAAAATATCTTCAACAGATTACACCACTCCTCCCCATCCTGTCAATGCTCTGCCTCTGTATCCCTCCTCCAAACGTCCTTCCCTGGCCCCCTCTCCTCCACACACACCGCATCTGGCATTCACAGCCATCTCTTGTGTTTGTATATCTGTTAGTCAATCAGTTTTGGTCGTAGAGTGCAGACACTCGGTATATATTAAGTGGGTACATGCATTGTCTCTCCTTCATAGCCTGGCTTGTTTCACTCAGCAGTAAATCTTCCATATTCATCCACTGTCTGTCCAAAGCCAGGGTTTTGTTGGTTTTTATGGCTGAATAGTATTCCATAGAGTATTGAAATGCACTTTTAACTTTTTTATTCTTATTTAGGTTTTGCCCTAGGGCATGGGCACTTGCCAGGGAAATAGAGACAAAGAGGAAAAATGAGAACTCACCCCCTCAGGGGGGATGGCCATGGTGCAATCCCTTCTCCTCCATGCTCCTCCTGGGATTTTGGGCACGCATGCACAAACACACGCACCTGGCGTGATTTCGTTTTTTTCTTTTCTTTTTTATTTTTTGGAGAGGTTTTTGTTATAGGGCATGTGCACTCATCAGAAAGCCAGAGAACCATGCACTTAGGGCATGTGCACTCATCAGAAAGTCAGAGAACCATGCACAAGTTCTGGGACCCGAACCACAGTCAGCCATGTGGGAATCCAGCATCTTTAACACTATGCAATCTGTAGGCCCCTTGAATTTTTTTTTTTTTTTAATGCCACAGGGTGTGGGCATAAGAGAGAAAGAGAGAGAGAGAGAGATCCTCAGTTTCCTGCCCAGAGGGACCTGGTCACACTGCAATCCTTTTTCCTGCAATTTTCCATCCCATTGGAATCCTGGGCACATGTGTGCTGTGGCACTACGGAGCCACCCCTGGATGTGTTTTTTGGCAGGTAGAATTTGGTCATGATTTTGCTACATGGGAAGCCCACAACATTTTTGAGAGAGAGGTATTGGCAAAGGAACCACCA